ACCCTCAACCCTAAACCCTATCATCATTTCAGGGTGTTGTTGGTGCTCCAAGCTCGTGTAGAAAGGCTTTGCAGCCAGAAGCCCTAAACCGGCATTGCAACTTCCTGCAGCTCTTACTTAGGGGCTAAATAAATACACCTTTTTGGGTTGGGGTACTGAGCCCCTAAGCTTACAGCATTCCGAAACATGCGGACATTGCTGGCGTTTGCAGCTTTGGGTATCGTTTTGCAGTGCGGTCTGGGCAGGAATTTAAGGAATTTAACGCCGGCGCCCTAAAGCCGAAACCATTAGGGTTTGGGAATTAGGGTTTAGGGTTAAGCCCCGTTTCTGTTTTTTTGTGCACCTCACTACTCTCGGGATCCTTTTGTAGACTTCGCGTGTCTTAACGTAAGCCGGCAGTTCACAGGCTTCCTTACTCTAAGTATAGTAGAATATACAGCGAAACCTTGTTTCTAATCGCGAAGGCTGTCATTAACCATCATAGAGTACTTTAACAGGAACCTTGAGTTCTATTTATCAAGGTCCCTATAATAAGCCCTGTGAGGCAAGATCGTGTACCGGTCCGACCACAAGACCGGGAAGAGCTTTCATGTGCGCTTGGGTGCCACCGGTTGCAGTTTGGAAGTTTTTGGAGGACCCTAAACCCTAAACCGCTCGGGGTGCAGAACTTGTTAGGGGTTAGGTGGGGTTGTAGGGCAGCAGGGTAAGGTTTCGGGGATTTTCGCTTCTGGGTTTCGATTTTAGGGTTTGGCGCAAGAGGGTTGGGGCTGGATTACTTTAGGGAGCTTTTTGGACCCTGGGCAGCAGCATGACTGAGCGTACTGTATTGATAATTACAGCATCATATACTCCAAAACCCAATTCAAATTATTAGGCCCCTATCTCAGTCAGGGCCCTCATCTTCAAATGTTCAAGTCCACATTGCCTCGAAAGCCCCACATCTTTAACCCTACACCCTAAACCCTANNCCCTACTTGGAGGGTCATGGGACTTGGTATGTAGGGATATAAGTAAGGTAACGATGGCTATACCTACTTATAAAACCCTAAACCCTAAACCCTAAACCTAAACCCTAAACCCTAAACCCTAAACCAAAACCCTAAACCCTAAACCCTAATCAGGGTACTTAGAACCCTCTAAGTCCCCTGATCCTCTAAGTAGGGGGAAGCTGCACCTTCCTAAGTTCCTCAATGCCAGGGGCTCCTACACTCTAAGGTTAAAAGTATGGCCCTAATATGGACCCCTAGGCGGCTTAGGGTTCGGGATCGTATCTTTTGGGTTCTGTGGCTTTGAGCTTTGGGTTTCGATTTAGGGTTTAGGGTTTACGAGTTTAGGGTTTAGGGTTTAGGCTTTCTAGGGACCCTTAAGGGTACATATAGGGTATATAGTTGGTGTATAAGGATCCCAGGGTTAAGGGCCCATACTAGGGGCCCATAAATTCAACCTTAGATACACCCGCATCTCGGGGGGGGGAGGGACCTTTAGAATCCTCAAAGCGAAGCTGCGCCCGAGGCACTGAAACTTACCACCGCTAAACCCGAACCTTACTCCAAAATCCTAAACCCTAAACTCTAAACCCTAAGTTCTCATAATGTAGGGGCCGGATCATGAAACTGTGGGTGGCTGTGCCGTTCCTGAAGAACCCTAAACCCTGAACCCTAAACCCTAAACCCTAGGCTCTTATCATGTAGGTGCCGGATCATGAAACTGTTGGTGTCTGTGCCGTTTCTGAAGAACCCTAAACCCTAAACCCTAAGTTCTCATAATGTAGGGGCCGGATCATGAAACTGTTGGTGGCTGTGCCGTTTCTGAAGAACCCGAAACCCTAAACCCTAAACCCTAAGGTCTCATAATGTAGGGGCCGGATCATGAAACTGTTGGTGGCTGTGCCGTTTCTGAAGAACCCTAAACCCTAAACCTTAAGTTCTCATAATGTAGGTGCCGGATCATGAAACTGTTGGTGTCTGTGCCGTTTCTGAAGAACCCTAAACCCTAAACCCTAAACAAACAATCCCTAATAAACCCTACACCCTAAACCCTAAACCCTAAACCCCAAACCCTGCAGTACCTGAGCCCCAAACAAACCATGGACGAATCTCAAAGAAGGCGACGCCACCGGCAAAGTCGACGTCAAGTTCTTCCAGGGGGATTTCAAAGAGCGCCTCCGATCGGTTTAGGGTTTAGGGTTTAGGGTTTAGGTCTCTGGTTTGGGTTTCGGGTTTAGGGTCTTGGTCAGGCAGCGCTGTGAGTTCAGTTTTGCTAAGCTGCTAAGAATCGGCGTTGCAGGCGCCTTATGCCGTAACATCGGAGTCAGAATAATTACAGGTAGCAAGAATTACAGCCTTAGTCCTTGAACCTCCTTATATTCTCGCTATACTCGATTCTACCCCAAGCCCTTTTCTAGTTTATGGCCCCGAAATTCGATGTCTGGTGCTCCTACACCCTAGTATTTGCGAAAGGCCCCGAACTCAAAACCAGGCCAGGGTATTCAAGCTTTGTTTGGTTCATCAAATTGTGATTGCTCAACCCCCAAGCGCTCAAGCTATTTCTTGGGTGGTAGGGTCTGGCCGAAGTTGCTTTTTGTTTATTGGGGGTTTCTCTTCGGTATGGATCGGATGTTTGGTGTTTTCTGGAGCTTGGATCGAGGTTTGGCTGAGGGAGCTAGTTGATGATGGGTCTTAGGGTTTAGGGTTTAGGGCTTTAACACGGACTTTTCAAGATGAGCTCTCAGAAAGGTTTTCCTGCACAAGGGGACTGCAAAGACCTAGAGTACTGTAACCCTAAACCCTAAACCCTAAACCCTAAGCCCTAAACCCTAAACCATAATGGCTACGGCTCAAGCTGTTTGGCTCTTTCAGGTTTATGCTAGTCCCCCTCTTCCCCCGCCGCCTCGTGACTTTCGGCTGATCGCGTTCTGTACCTTCTCGGCTTCTTCGCTGAGCCGGAAGTGTCTTTTCTCTTCTACCTGCTCAACCCCAAGTTCGCGGCTGGTTCCTCACTGTCGTGTTCGTGGATTGCCCGATTCTGAGGGGTGACGTGGAAAAAGGGTGTGGGGCCCGGGCTGGAACGTGAGTGGGGCGATCTCTCCTGCTGCCTTCCGGAACATTGGACCTCTCTGATCAAGGGTGGGCTGAACTTCCTCTGCTTGGTCGCCAACGCATCCCTGGCATTGTTCACCGTCTTTGCGCTCCTTGCGCTGTGGGAGATTTGGAACCTGGTCGCCCTTGTGTACCTCTTGCACTGGGGGAGATTTGGAACCTGGAGGCTTTCATAATGGCTGACAATGACTCCACCCAGGCCGACCCCCAGGACCACGACATGGCAGTGGAAATTGGATCGCCAACCGAGATTGCAGATGAGGAAGAAGATGCTGCTCTGGCTGGGATTGGACCTGATCCCTACCTGGACATCAACGCTGGCTCTGAGTCGAAACGGGGAACCCGCAGCAAGGAAGTCAAACTCGAGAAGCGCAAACGGGAGGAACGCCAGGATGCTGGACTTCTTCGAGCTGTACCTGATCCCGAGGACGAAGACTATGACAGTCCTTCCAAAAGACCCAGCAGGAATGAAGAAAAACCGCTCACCGCCCGGGAACTAAGAGCACTTCTATCAGGCCACGTTAACGAGATGAAGAGCGCATGGGGGTCGTTCCAGGGACGACTTGACAAAGTGGAAGCCGAGCAAAGTCGTGCAGCAGGAGCAGTGAGGGAACTTCAAGCCAGGACCACCGTTGCGGAGAAAGACATTGCCCATCAACGACAAGTGGCACAGGACACCAACCTGAACCTGGACAACCTCGCCACCGAGGTCAAGAACATGAAAGTGAAGATCGCTGAGCTGCAAACGACAGGTCCCGCTGTTCCACATCTGGGAGGAGCTGTAGCACCAGGGGTGAACAACACGTCCGGCATGGCAGTGGACCCGTGGGCTGACTTCTTGAACCGCAAGAAAGAGGCCCCCAGAAAACCACCGCAGGCAGGACCCTCGGCAGCAGGAGCACCAGCCTCTGAGATTGACAAGGGTGACTTTATCTCTGAGGAAGACAAAAGAACATTGGTGATTGGAGGCTGGTTACAGGACACACGCCGAAGCGTCATCGAGGAAGAGGCCGCCACTATTCTTCAGATGCCTGAAGTTAGCCAGCTCATTGATGTCGACAAACTTGCCATCTTCGGGCCCCGACGGTCGGTAGGCATGCTGAAATTTTCGGTGAGGGATGGGGAAAGAGACTCTGACGTGCGCAACCGCATGTGGCAGTTCATCAAAGCACTTGCGCAGATCAAGCATGTGTTGCCTTCTACCCGAACAGGAGGCGAGACTCGCACAATGTGGGCGAGTTTCGTTAAGAGCAGGAACGCCAGGTTGAGAAGTGCACATGTAAGCATGATCCGAAGGGTGACGATTGCACTCGCGAAGGAGGTACAAGCACGTGACGCAGGTGGGGTGGCGAGCGCTGTCAACGACCAGATGTCCATGTTCGATTGTGATTGGAACATGGGAACAATTTGGTGTGGCGCGATGAAGCTGGGAAGCTCCTCGCACCGACCTCCGCGGGACGAAGAGACGGTGACAATGACAGGCGGCTGGATCAGCATCTCGGCCGTCGCCCGGACTGCAAGCTGCTCCACGGAAGAGGCGAAACGCGCCTTTGAGCTGGAGCTGTGACAAACGGAGAGAGCCAGTTTCACACCTGATTCGCCTCCAGGGGGTGACGTTCCTCATCCCAAGGATCGGGAAATTTCCTCGCCTATGTGTGCAAAACACAGGTGGGGGCGAATGGGACAATGGAATTTAGGAGGACAAGGTCCTGAAATCCTGGACGTTGTTGCATGCGATTTAGATATCATCATGGTTCAAGAAATGTCAAGATGTGAACCGGGCTGGGGTGAAGTCAACACGGACGAGTTTCATTGGCTATATCATCGTGACCCTTCTCATTGGCGAGGAGTTGGTATTGGGATCGCGTCTGACAAGCTTGACTCAGTCGTGCATAAGGTCTGTACCAGTCGAGGCATATGGATTGTGGCTCGAATCCATGGGCTCGGACGTGTCATTCTCGGATCTCTGCATGGCCACACTGGCGTCACCAACAACGTTTACCAAGCAGCGATACACGAGTTCTTCAAGGCGTGTCCGATCAAATACCGTCATCTTCCTCTACTGTGTGGGGTGGACGCCGACGAAGTACCACAGTGGGAGGACACCGATGGCCCGAAACTTTCCCTTGGCACTGGAAGCCACAACCTCAACTGTCTGGCTCACGATGCCCTACAGCAAGGAATCCAACCAGCCGCGCCTGACGTGACATCCTGCACGCCTGTCCTCTTCCTGTT